GCAGTTCAAAACTCACAGTTTATCATTAAAATGTTTTTAAGAAAACACAAATCGTACAAACAGCGCTCTTGTAATGATATTGAGGGGGTAGATAATGTGACCCTAACTAGTATGCAGCCCTGAAACCCAGGAGGAGTGCCTGTGGATATGCAAACCAGAAACAGAAAACCAAAAGGGCGCAACACTAGGTCAGCTGACTGACCGGGTCGGACAAAACAGGGAAGGTGACAGGGAAAATAATGTGAGAAATGGATATAAAGGGCGAAAAACCAATGAACAGCTGAGGAAACAAAAGGATGAGCACTTACATTTTAGGTCGTGGGACCAGAGGATGGAAGGCCCGTGTGAAGGATCGGGACATCCGTGGTGTCTATCTGAAACTGGTGTGCCAGAAGATGTGCATCTACACGGGGAGAGGAGGCTGTGGATGAGGGGGGGGGGAGGAGAAAACAAAAGAATGGGGACTAAGTCCGTGGCCCCGCTCTGTGAATCCAAGGGCTGTGTAGTGTGGGGGAGAATCGGCGGTGTCAGATGCCGGCTGAACATCTGTGGCCGCGGCTGTGGATCGTGATGCTCAGTACCTGTCAGCACAGACTGGGGCAGTGTGCGGGAGCCGTTGGCTGTGAAATGTCGGCTTTCAGTCGGGTCTGTGATGGGATGAGGGTGGTAACGGGATGGAAGGGTAGTGAGCAAATCCTTAATTCCACTATTTAGACATTTGCTACTACAAAATGAATTACACACTGACCTAAGTTATTTTAAATGTATGACAGCCATTTCAGGTAGCGCTGAAAAGAGCATCTACAGAATGCAAGCGGCTGAATCTGTGTGTAGCAAAGAACTAGCCAGGCAATTTCTTTGGCCCGGTTCACACCTGGGCGTTTTGTACCGCGTTCCTACGCTCTGCAAAATGCTCAAACACCGAAATCCCATTATTTTCTATGTTTATGGTTCACACTTGGGCATATTACAGGCCGTATGAACGCGCTACAAAACAGCCTACGCCCAAAGAAGTACAGGAGCTTCTTTGGGGAGTTTTTGTCGCGCGTATCCATTGGGATACAGCCAGGTAGCCCTCGGAAACGCGTGTATGTCACGCATTTTTTTTTAGCGGTAAAAACGCGTGACACGAAACGCGCGACAAACGTGCATATTCGATACGCCTAGGTGTGAACCCAGCCTTAGGGTGCACACAAATCCTACATCCACTGTGCATTAGACCTGGGGGGACCTATAAAAAGATTGAAGCTTCTAAAAAGTAGGTTAGGAAGTGGTGGGAGTGCCGCTAAAGATTAATCTAGAATGTAACACAGCTAAACAGCTTTAAAGTGAACCTGTGACAAAGATAAGGGAACTGCTACTTGTTTGTAAAGATGCAGAGTCTAATTTTGTTATCCATTCCTGGTCATGCCTTCTTATGATTCTTGGAAAATCACTTTTCATCAACCGATCCATTGGATAGCGATTTGTATAGTGATTTGAAGTGATCCCTATTGTACCCATTATCCAATGAATGAAAAACAAGGAGGCTGTTGATAAACAGCCTAAGTTATGTCACTTATTGGCAGAACCATCCATTGAAATGAATCCATGGATTTACTTATCAATACTGAACCGCCTGCAGAAGCTGGGAGGTATGCAGATAAGAAATAAGGCTTAAATAAGACAACCAGAAAATGTTCTTGCCTGTTTTTGTCATCATCATGAATGACACAAGAAGCACAGATGAAAGTTAGTACTGATTCAGTGAACTACAAAGAAGCAATCTTATTCTTGTCCCTGAGTTAGCACCCCCAGTGCGAAAAGTGGAAAAAATGGTCACACGGAAATCAAAACAAAAATGAATGGATTTTCTTATCAAAAAAACTCAATTCTTTTCTCCTATATGGCCAGCTGTGCCTCCAGAAGCATTGGCTAGTAGACCAAGCACAGACTAATAGATACAGTTACATGTCATACTTGCATACAGTCATTTCCAAGGTTCATAAGTTTCATCAGTGTAAGATAAAGCAGGGGTTCTGCTTCCACTATGATTGCCAATGAATGAATTCCATAACTTTGTTCTCAGATCCTTGAAACCAATTTTCCCGTATTGGTGAAAGACTATTGGTCAGGGTTAGGAAGTTTGTAAAATTCTTGTACAGAAACTAGTGTCAATGAGGGCACAAAACATGTTAGTAAAGGTTAGGACTCAGTGAGAGATGGCTATCTGCAAAAGCCAGGGTCGGAGCCAGGAGATCAATCAGACACAAGACAGAGCAAAAACACACTTTAAAACATTCAGGCAGACAACACAAGTTTCATACCTGTTCATTTCACCAGGGACAAGCTTCGGGATCAGGTGGAACATAAGTTTCACTTGAACCCAGCCTGTCTGCAGTTCAGTGAATGGGTGAAGAAAGTGATGTTTGTATTTTTTTTTCCGCACCTTTTCTGGACACCCAGGCAGCATGCCTGAATAAGAGTCTAGTATGACATTTAATAATTCTTAAAGGGTTGGTACCATACAAAACATGTTGCCTGGGTGGCTAGGAAAGAGGGGGCAGTGATTATGCACCCACTCCTGAACCATACCAGGCTAAATGCCTTCAAGGCATACTTGACTTCCCTTCAAGGCATATATCTGAGTGGTGTCATTCACCAAATATGACCATGACCATATTGATCAATTACATCACCCAGGATCCCCAGGTCATGTACAAACAGAAGCCGGTGGAGATCTGTCATTTAGTGGTGGTGCTACTGCAACTTCACATGCAGGTTTAAGACATCCCTAAAGCATGTCATTGAAATTATTTGTGTATTTTTATTGCTGTCCTTTAATCAGAATTGTATTTTTTTTAAAAAGGGTATGTGTCCCTCATGAGTGGCCAACTTCCCATGCCCTTTTTTTTACTAAAGGATTGCAAATTGACCTTGTTAAAGGCCAAAAAAAAAACAAGATTGGGGGTCCTATACACTTTAATGGGGGTCAGCGCAAGTTCAAGGTTAGCAGACTTTTTGCTGGGTTCGCTGAACTTTTCCAGGTTCTCTCCTCCCTACTCTTCACCATAATGAGCTAAGGTGCATTGATGTCCAGGCTGTGACCCTCTGGATTATGTCAATAAACATAGCACTAACAAAGGAGTAACAAATTAAAACTGCATTCAGACAATGACAGTGAAGAACATTTAGGCCAAACTACAGAGTCAGGGAACATGGAGACCATTACCAAGAGAATCTAAGAGAAAACAGCCTAGACAAAAAAAAGAGCTAGGAGTGCAGAGACAGGAAACCACAAATAAACAGAAAACTGTAAAGGGAAGATATAGACAAGATATTTGGTGGAAGCAGATACAAAATAAGTGCAAAACAGGAAACCAGGTATGGATCAGAGAAGACAGGAACCAAATCAAACCAGAAAAAAAGTAAAACCAAAATAAGCCACGTTCAACAAAACAAGAGTTTAAAGTATCAAGACATGAGGATGCAAGGGACAAGATAACTATATTTGAAGGTAAGGGGTTGGGGTTGCACAAATAAACCTTTTATATGGCAATTATCCAGCACTGTGATGATGAAAAAGCAATATTAAAGCTCCAGAAGCAAAGTGTGAATAATACACAGGTGTAGCATCAGACAGGGCAGCACAGGGCAGAGACATAACCTGAGAAATAGGAGACATACAGCTGACAGAGAGCCAGGGGAGCCAGCCATGAATAAAAATCTACAAAGACTCTGAGACATTTGCTTCCTTTGTTTTACCTACCCAGTCAGTTCTCAAAACTCCAATGTACAATTTAGCGTAAAAGGGAACTACAGTCGGACATATGTACAAATAGTTGAAACACGGTTTCCAATACATTTCTACACTTTTCCATTTGCACTGTAATGTATTCTTGATGTGCCACAAATGGCTACATGGCATAAGGAGGGTGTAAAAATATTTGCGGAGCCTGCAATTGTACAAACCTTATGCCACAGCCCTGCCTTCAGGCTACCACTATACTGTACTAGTGACAACCACCCAAGTTCTCTCCATATTTTAAGCTCTATTAGGTACTTATGCATCACCCTTCAGTTTACAGAGCTGTCACTCCCACTGCAAACCCAATTGAACAATTCAGCTGGAAAGTGGCAGGTCAGACAGATTTCTGGTAGTTACACTAGTTGTTTGGAAAAATTATTCAACGAACGAATACATAAGAAAATGATATAAATATATAATGTATATATTTGCATTACATTTCTTTGACACACGTAAAATGAGGAACAAATCCATATAACTGAATTCTACCGTGTTTCCCCGAAAGTAAGACCTACCCCGAAAGTAAGACCTAGCGCTATCTTCAGGGATTTCTGTAATATAAGACCTACCCCGAAAATAAGACCTAGTTCAGTGGTAGGTCTTATATTACAGAAATCCGCTAGGTCTTACTTTCGGGGTAGCTGCACATAAACTGAATTTTAAATGTAAAGACCGGCCGCAGCTCCCGCCCCGCCCACACGCCAGCCTGCCGCAGCTCCCGCCC